AACTTATGACGCCGCTCTAAATGTAATTTCAACCATGAGAGGCGTGCAAAGGCAAAAAAATCCATCAAAGGAGGCTTGGTTACTATTTCTTGATCAAAAAAAGGCCTTTGATAGAGTAAATCACACATTCCTTTTATTAACTCTTGAAAAAATGGGATTTAATGAAATTTTTATAAATTTATTGAAAAACCTTTTTTCAAATCAATCCGCACAAATTTTTGATTCTGGTGTCCTCTCTGCATCCTTTAAAATAGGAAGGGGTGTCAGACAGGGTGATCCAATCTCTCCGTTATTGTACATATTATCATTTGAACCTTTCTTAAAATTATTGATAAAAAATCTAAGTGGGGTGGCGATAAATGATTTTAGATTTAAGATATCAGCTTTCGCTGATGATTTAACTATTGGGCTAGGATGTAATAATGACTGGGACATTTTGCATTCATTATTAACAAAATATGAAAAAGCTTCCAATGCGCAAGTAAATAAAAAAAAATCTGTACTTGTTCCACTAACAATTGAAGCAATGAATACAAACCTGCCAGGTGATCAAGCTTATAAAATACTTGGAGAAAATGAAACTACCAAATATTTAGGTTTTATTATTGATAGAAAGGGGCAATTAAAAGAAAATTTTTGGGAAAACGTGGCTGAAACAATTAAAGAAACTATGAAAATAATAGATCACCATAGTTTCTCTTCTGAAGATAAGATGCGTATCATACGTATCGCAAAATCTTATCTTTTATGTAAAATTTGGTATAACGCTTATATTCTACCTCCAACAACTAACCAATTTTCTAAGTTAAATAATTTAATAATAAAATGGATTAAGGATAAACTTGATCCTGAATCAAATGACTTGGATTTCATGAGAATCGAAGATATGTTGGATGCTAGATTAGGAATGATCTGGTTAAAACTATTAACAAGCAATGATTTATGGGCAAAAATAGAAAGGGAATTTATTGAAAAAGAGTTAGAAAAACGCAGAATTTCTGTACAAACTGCTTTAAAACATTCAACTGAACCTAATATCTGGCCTTTGGAATGGATATACCAATTTGCGGCCTGGAAAAGGCTAAACGGAAAAGTTCTCTCAACAGATTCCTGGCCGTGGGATCTTAATTTAATCAAAATAGCGAATCTCGATGCGAATGAATATTCCTCAGCGGCCGCAATAAATTATTTATGGGCCGATAACGATGTATGGTCTATATTAGAGGATAATGCATGTTGTGAACGGCAATTAGTGCCCTATTCATTTTATTTTTCTTTTCTTATTATTATTATTATTATTTTTCTTTTCTTATTATTATTATTATTATTATTTTCCTTTTTCTCGATTTGATTATCGCATATCTTCCCTTTTTGAGTTGCTTGACATGAAATATATATATTTGGTTAGTATTAATGTCGCGTAGTTCTTGGTGAAGCCCTGTATTTAGTAAGGGGAATGTTGATCGATAGCGAATCTAGTGAGAAAGTGGAAAATAATGACCGAGTTGGTGAAGTGCAATGTAAAGTGAACGTATCACGTGATGACGAAATCAACCGAAATTATGATCGGCATTATCCCTTAAACCGTCCCAAGTTAGCAGGCATAAAATGTTAAAATTGTTATGTCTGATCTATTTTTTTAAAAATTTATTATATTTAAAAAAAAATTTATATAATAATA